TTACCGAATAACATAGAGATGTTTATTATATATATTTCGAATAGCCGTCAAGGCCTCTTCTTCATTAAAATTACTTTCAGTCGATAAATGGAAATCTCGAGCAAGCCGTTTTATCACTTTCAGCTGTGATATTACGAAAGCTGTGAGGACTATAAAGTAAACTTGAGAGATTGTACAATATATTGCACCAGTTAGAGTAGAGCTTAAACCTAAAAACAAGAAAAAGCTGGTGTGTACACACTGGATGAAAATTAAATTCAATCAAATAAGTTTTTGTAAATAAGTGTGTATGTACCTATGTATAAAAAGGCCAAGCGCTTTCGACAATTACGTCATCATCAGGGCCACTAAAAAACAACAAACAAGGCAACAGTAAACATCCTGGAGGATATGACGCAGACAAACCAAAGTAAAAGGAAACAAAACTTTGTGCTCAAAAGCACCGAACCGAACATGTAAAGCAATAGTCATAAACGGTCCAAAGGGTTAAAATTGTAAAAGACAAACTTTCTAGCAACAGACCAAAGTGAAAATTAGAACAAATGAAATTGATTAAGGAACTTGACCAGTCGGCCAGTCGGCAGTGTGGCGACCAGTCTCGTAAAGTTACGCTCAAAAGCGTTAGCTTTTTCTGTCTTCTTCTTCTTTCTGGTCTGTTTCTAGTAAGTTTGTCTTTTACAATTTTAACCCTTTGGACCGTTTATAACTATTGCTTTACATGTTCGGTTCGGTGCTCTGGAGGATCTTCACTGTTCACTTTTGATTTGACGATGTGCCTGACGATGACGTAATTGTCGAAAGCGCTTGGCCTTTTTATACATACATACACACTTATTTGATTGAATTGAAACCTAAAAGATCAGAGACAGAATTTAAAGAAAATATATCCTATCACTTACTGAGTATATATGTCTCAAAGAAGTATTTATTTCTGTTCAATGGGTACCGAACATGTAATGTCATCATAGGTTTAACTTCAGTATCATTCAGACTCCTATACTGAAAGTACTTGATCGTGTCACAAACCCACACTAAAAATCCTGAGGCCGATGTACAACCAAACGCCAACAAGATGAAATGCTTTACAATCTACAATGAAAAATAATGCGGGATCAAAAATCTGAAAATGGTTTATAAGTTCCTTCTGTATATTTTCGAGTTAGATGAGCAGCGTAATGTCAAAAGAAAATAATATTTATATTGCTGCTTTGATAATAAGTTTTCACTAATTTCTCCCAATTATTGAAATTTTACACCTTGATATCAGTTGTTTTTTATTAAATTAATTATTGCCACCAACTTTTCGTTGCGCATTCGGTATTTAAAACCACCTGTTGAAATAATATTAAAAATTCCGGATACAGTCGCTGGGAATTCCGGCAATCAGGGGTTCTTGTCTGCTGATAACAGTTGCGATTTTGTGCTTGCGACTTCAGACCTGTACCCAGTGTCACCAAATTGTATAGCGAAGGAGTATACTTTTCAACGGCCAAGCTCCCCTATAGTCATGATAACAGTGTGTAGAATGACACTTTTGTGTTGACGTACCTCTGGAACATGGGTGTTCCCAATGGTCAGATCTTTCGTATCTCGGCGCAGCACCATGACTGAAGATTGAGTGTCACACTAGCATCATTCTTTCTCGTTTTCCCGTTCCTTTTCCCGAAACTGATGGCAGCTTGGCCGGAATTATGTGATAAGTTATTTAATGATGACACAGCGCGAGGGGAGGGAGTGAAGACAACCTGCAAATGGTGTACCCGGGCAACGGATTGCAAGGACAGGAAGGCAAAAAGTCGAGAAAAAAAGCGGCCTAACTACGATGCGACAGCAAAAGGAGACGGAAAAGTCAGAAAAGCAGATAACGGCTCTTCTAAGATCCCACAGACAAAAAATACTGGACAATGTGTCCATAGTTTGCAAATTAACGTAGAAGGCTTGACAAGCAACAAATGTGATTACTTGAGCAAATTGGCCCATGAGCACAACATCGAAGTTCTGGCTCCACAAGAAACCAACCCATTTGGAAGATGGCGGCGCATCGGCCACCATCTTCCAAATGGATATTATACCAGGATATAATGCGATATCAATACTCCTTTTACTGATCCATGAATCCACAATATATGTGCCCAAAATGTACAGATACGTACTTAGTACGTTTTAAGAACGCACATTCTGTACGAAATGTACGTAACGTACACGTACCAAATAGGGCATATTACGTACATGGTACGTAAAATGTTCAATGAAAAACGCATCTCTGGTACGTCTATACACATGTACATAGTACGTACATCCACTCATATATATTTAACGTACATTGTACGTCTACCGTACATACATATATACCGGGTACTTTTTTATGTTGAAAAACTTAAATATATCGAAAACAAGTGATCCTAACATTTCATTGTTGGATCACTTGTCTTCGATATATTTAAGTGTTTTAAGATAAAAAAAGCACCCGGTGTATTACTTAATCATAATTGCTTGCTTAATGAGTACTAAATAAAGATGACACGATTTTATTTTTTACAGTATTTATTCATATATACATGTCGTACACACTAAGGGTGTTTAGGGAACTCTACTCTAAATATGGGGATAGTTGGAAACGTTGGAAATGAAATGGATCCAGCTCGAGCTGAGTGAAAAAGTTTTTGAAGACATGTGCTAAATCTGAAGCGAAACATGAGGTTATGATGTATGCGTTATATATTATGATGTCCTTATTTCAGATTATTATTACTCTTATTCTGTAAGTTTTTATTTAAAAAAAACGATAATTTAATCTTATTGTAAGACATTTTTGCATATCAGTATATGTTATATCCATGTACAAATTCAATTGAATTCTGTATATGTACTGAAAAATTAGTAAATATTGGTAAATATTGTACGTACATGGTACATACTTAATACTTACTTACTACTATACTTAAAATGTACGTATTAAGTACATAATGTGCTGTCTGGGTGAAAAACAGCATTTCGGGTTATACTCTTGTAAGTATATAAGTAACTTGCCGGGAATTGAATGGCGCAGAAGTAATTATGATAGCACTCAAAGGACTGACTTTTACAGTCTAAGTTACGATGCGAAGGAAATTAAAACGTTTCGATCAGGCAAACCGAAACGAGCCCTCACCTAACCAGGGTCTATCTTTTTTTCATTCTTAGGTTCAGCGGAAAAATCAGGGTTGGCAAAATCTGTCAAGGAGACTGAAAACGGCACTCAAAGTTGGATACACAGGGCGCCTGATAGAGAAAATTAAAAAAAATAGTTAGGAAAGTAAAATAAAATGACGTGTTTTTATTTTACATTCCCAGTAGTAAAAATATTTTGGACTTAGTAACACTCTTAAGTAATCTCTTTAAGACGTCTCACATATCTTAATTAGACATCTTAAAGATTTCTTTGTGCTGTTTGGGGATGTCTTTAGGTCAGACAGACATAAACAGACGTCTCACATATGTTAATTAGACATCCAAAAGGCGTCTTTAAGATATTTTCTTCTGTTCGGGTTTGCTCTTTTCAAAGATACACGATATTCCAAAATATTTATTTGCAACGTTTAGTACGTTTCGGTAACAAACATTTCTGAAACATATACTGCAGATAACTGAAACGTTTCGGTATTTAAATATACGTTTCTGATACAAAATTTTTTTTAGCGGGTGGTAGCTAAAACGTTTTTATTTTTCTCACTACTGCTCAGACCAAAGCACCAAAGAAGGAATAAATCTTTTGCCGACCGTGTAATTTAGATTACTGCCTGATTAACACAATTATTCTATAGCCTACCTTATAATTATTTTCAAATGTATCTTGGATATTAATAGATTCTTCCATATATAGTCTCTGCTCCTCTGCAATACCATTAAGTATCAAATTTGCAAAGCTTTTTCGTTGCCACATTAACAGTTTGATGCAGATTAATACCGTCAGCAGTGAGAACCAGATGTTATCGATAATTCCGGGGAAATCGTCATTTGAGATTGCCTCTGATATATTGCCTAATGATCCGAAAAACATAAGAGAAAACAGCACTTGTATAGCTACTGAATATAACAAATATAGTGATCTAAGAAAGCAATTATCCGTCAATTTTAGTCTCCACAAACCGGTAAATATCATTGTAGATTTGAAAAACTTCATTAATTTTAAACGATTTTCCATCACAACTTGTTTAATATGCAATGCAAACAGTCACGTAGAAGAAATTGAACTGAACTGTACATTTGCACGAATAATTTCCCTACTATTTTATTAAATCATTCCATGTATAGTTAAAGAAAGATGAAACAAAACCTTCAAATTGCAAAAACATCAATTGCTATATTGACAACGAATTTAAATTTTAAAGCAGAATAGGATATTCTGCAAAATAATGATATTTAATTATTTATATTATATTATTGCTGTTATTATGTATGTGCTTATACAAGATGTTCCATAAACCACAAATAATTGTCATTCCAATTAATTAAAATATACCAATCACCCTTATGTACAGAGTGGACCAAATTGGACACTTTTAAATGGAGACTCCCATTTCTATATCAGATAGACAAAAGACCGACTGATGTCGGTGTATGAGCCTCGATTTTTATGGCAAAATTAATGGTGAAAACCGTACGTCAATATCTCTAACCGAGTTTGCTCTATCTCTGTTTCCGAGATACAGCGTCTTTTCCAAAAAGCTGCACTTTTGGCAAATCTATCTAGCTCTTTTCCTGTGATTTTTTAAAACTTTCTACGGAAACATTTCCAAAGCACTTCTTCACGTGGCATCCAATAATGTAAGTTTCATTTGCGGTAAAAAGACATTTTTTTAAATGGGACACTATATATTTTTCCACATTTAACTTCCGCTTCGAATTATCTTTCTAACAATATAGCACAATCTAGGTTTTGCTAAACCATTCAATTAAATATAGAGGATTAATGGGTACAATAAGGTAAAAAAAATGCTTTACATCATATAACAAATTTTATCTACAATAAACTAAATACTAGTAAACCTATACTGATAACATCTCTTGACTTGGCAAAAGCATTTGACACTGTTGACCATAGAATATTATTACACTAACTCTACTGTTATGGAATAAGAGGAATGGCTCTGGATCTGCTTTCAAGCTACCTTAATAATAGATCACAAAGGGTCAAAACAAATGAAACATTTAGTTTATTTTTTTTATTTTTTTTTTTTTATTATGATCTTAAAGACTTTTGTCCCACAAGGTACAGTTTTGGGACCGTTGCTTTTCATTCTGTACATAAATGATATCTTGAAGATTCCCATTGAATCAATTGTATCATATGCGGATAAGACTGCGGTGATTGCTTCTGGTGGTACTTGGAGTGAGGTTGAAGCAAACATGAATGCTTATTTAAAAGTTGTTCATCTCGTATCAAATAATTTTTCTCTTAATGTAAAAAAACTGTTTGTATGACTTGTGGCAACTATAGCGATAGTGTTCCATCAAGGATATACATTAACATTAAGGGTAGTCTTATAGAGAGAGTGGAATAGCATAAATATTTAAGTATAGTTTTTGATTATAACATGAAATGGGTCAAGCATATTCGCTATATCATACGAAAGACGAAATACCTAGTCTTTATTTTCTATAAAATTGTCAAAATGATGCCAGCCATGACACTGCGAATAATATATTTTGCTTTTGTTCATTGCATTGTCAGTTATGGCATTGTAGCATGAGGTGGAGCTTATAAAAATAGCACAAAATTGTTGCAAAACTTACAGAATAAATTGTTAAAAATAGTCAATAAAAGCAACCTTGCTGTAAACGACAATCGGATGACTTTGGAACAGTTGTATACACTTGAAGCGCTGAAATACCACTATAGTTCTCTGAAAAATGATTATCTCGCCTCTGCTAGTGTTACTCGCGGTAAAAACCTGATTGTCCCAAAAAACAAGAAAAGAGTGAGTGATAAGAATTCATACAAACGAGCAATGCAGACTTTCAATAACTTGCCAAATAAGTACAAAGTATTGTATCTGGATAAAAGATCACGCTTCCTATGTTGAAAGATTGGATAAAATCTAACTAATTTTTTAGAATTTTACTATTAATAGTAATGTATGTAAAATAATAGAATACGAAATGTTTCTTGACAAGTCAAACAAGAGAACTTTAATTTAGGTTAGTAATAGGATTTTTTGTTGTTATATTTTTATTAAGTTTTCGTTTTTTCTTGCAACTAGGCCTGTGTATAGATATATGTTTATCTCTGCAGGGTTTTACAGTTTTATGTACAATTTTCTGTAAATATTTATCAGTTAAATAAATTCAAATTCTAGTTGTTAATTTTTTCAAGTAGGCTGCGTGTGCCCCCTTTGAACGAGTAAGTTTTTGATGACGAGGCGAATGTCAATGTCCGTAATGACAGTGCCAAAGTTTTCTTAAAGCTGTATAGATCCTGCTTGTTTCTTAGTTTTAGTGGAATTATAGAAATTCATCTGAAATGAAATATGAAAATTATGGAAAGTGAGCTCATCAGATCATAGTTGCTTATTCAAACTGGGGAGAATTCAGAGGCTGCAACCAACTTGTACCAGGAACGTTATCCAGAGAGAAGACAACAATTCAGGGACATTTTCGAAAGACTACAACATAATCTACAAAATTATGGCCAATTTGAGATGAAACGACCATAGTTATATAAATTAAATAGCTGAAGAAGTAGCAGAAAGTTAAAAGAAATAACATTATTAGGAACTATCGATAGGCGAACGTGGAAAAAATATAATTTCCAACCATTTAGGAGGAGAAAAGTTCGTTATCTCAGACCTGGAGATTATGAACGTTAGATCAACGTTTGCCGCTGGTTCCTGGAAAACTGTAGCCAAGTGCCCTATTTTCCATTAAATAGGGTGTTTGCGCATAAGATTTGCTTGGATGAAACTTCTTCAGACGCTAGAGTGTGGGATTAAAAAAAAAATGAGAATAGCAAAATTGTACAAAAAAATGTGTGTAAAAAAATGGGATCGAAAGTGACCATCGTCACCAGAAAAATGACGTCAAGCCAGAACGCGCTCTTACAGGCTGTGACGTCAAACGGTACGTCGGATAGAATTCCTACGTTAGTCATAACCACCACAGATATGCAAGCTATGCGTTTCAACTTTGTTATTAAGAATTATTTTGAAAAAATCCCACGTTGGATTGGCAGGCTATTGGAATACTTAAGCATTCAAAAAGAAAAATTACGATCTTTGCTTCAAATTACGAAAATTTTTGATACCAAAAAAGTTCTCTTCTACAATTTT